GTGTGTTTCATCATTGTTCTGATGCACGCTGGATGTATCATCCCTTCTGTGTGCTCCTTTTGTGAGGGACTGTTCAATTATCTTCCAGGTGGGCTTTGGGTCTCCACTTTACCGATGCTCCTTCAATTTGATTACTTGTTTTTGAGCTTCTGATACCTATTCCCATGGATACCTCATGATCACACAGGTTGGACTGCCTCTTCCATGTGGGCTGTGTTGCTTCCTTGCTAGATGGCCACTTGTTTAACTTCAAGCCTTTAAGACCCCACGTGCTATATCATTTAATATCTGGACACCCTCAGCTTTCTTCACCATATTTGCATATGCCCCAAAGGGGTAAATTAAATTTTTTAAAAAATCACTACCATTGAGTTGATGCTAACTCATAATGACCCTATTGGACAGGGTAGACCTGTGGGTTTCTGAAACTCTAACTCTTCATGGGAGTAGAAAGCCTCATCTTTCTCCCTCAGAGCAGCTGGTGGTTTCAAACTGCCTACCTTTCAGTAGTAGCCCAACGTGCAACCACTATCCCACCAGGACTCCTTTTATTCATGCAATTGGCAAGTCCAGGAATGGTCTTCCATGAGGCCCAGCCCGATCCAGGACTCAAAGGAGTCCCTCATTCAGCCTGGCTCCCTCTCATTTGGCTCTATCACCTGGCCCTCCAGATGGCTACCTGACAGCTTTAGACTCCTCTGTGTCTCACACCCTCCCACTACCCTGTCCCAGTAAGCTATTGATACATAGCAAACTGCACCAAAACATCGTGGATGAAAACAACTATTTTACTGAGTCAAGATTTTGGGGGCCAAGAATTCAGGTGTGAGTCTGCTTTCTGTGGCACCAATCAGAGATAGTCAGCGGGTGGTTGGTCAGGTCTGGAGCGACAGAGAGCTTCCCTCAAGGCTTAGCACCTTGACAGGGCTGTCCAGAAGCAATTGTTAGCAGGGCCCATCCCTCCCTGGGGCTGCAGGGCCTCTCCCACACCCTAGAGCAGGTTGACCAGATTTCTTACCACTTTCCAGAGGCCAAATTCAGAGGCCAGCTGTCTTCTTTAAAGGCCAGGCCTCGAACTGAAGAAGTGTTCCTTCTGGTTGCTGCATTGCTCAAAGCAGTCGCAGACCAGGCCAGAGTCCAGGAGAAGGAAACAGCCCTCCTGGCCCACATTCAGAGGAGGGGCCATAACGAGTCTTCATTCATCTGAAAACCACCGTAGCACAGCTCCAGTGACAGAGACTGAGCAGGTCTCTCAGAGGCCCCGGGAAATCCTCAGAGGCTCCTGCTGATGAATTGGTTTGAGGAACACCCCTGCCCTCTCACCCAATCTCTGTGACTGAGAACTTGGGAAATATGGATCCCAGCGAGGGGTGGAAGCAATACCAGTCAACATCCAGGCTGAGAAATTCCACGGGACGGAGGATCGAGGAGGGCTGCCGGGAAGTGTCTTGGTTTGCCTTCATCTAAAAGCAGAAACTGAGACAAGATCCGGTGTGCGAGTGATTTGTTTGGGAAGGGATCCTCAAAAGCAGCGGGGAGAGAGTGAGGAGAGTAAGTGAGGCAGGGAGGGAGAAAAAGCCACCATCGTGGCATGACAAGCAATGAAGCTCCGTCCCTCCTCCTCCGAGACACCTACAGACACAGTCCAGAATTTTCCACCTTCAGGGCAGAAGCTGGAACATATTCCCCCTAGCTCTCATCCTTGGTGACTGAAGAGTACCCCAGGGGGCATTAGCACACTCGCAGTCTGTGCTTGCAAGAGCTGAGCCAGCTCCCAAGGCTTCCTTCCAGTAAGGTCTCTGAGCAGAAATGGGGGGCTTGAGCTTGAGCCGGCCATTGTGCAAGACGAGTCTGTGCCCACTGCAGACTTCTCCCCACCGCTGAGGCAGGAATCCGAGGGCAGCCAAGGATGCAGCACCAGAGGCCCCAAACATCGCTCCAAGAGTTACCCATAAAAGTCTCCTTTGGGGTCAGAGCCCAAATGACCATGTCAAGTGTCTCCCGGGGGAGTCCTCCTGCAGCTGAGGTGGTGGGTGCCCAGAGAAGAGCTGCTGGCAGCAAACCGCCATGGGCGATCTTTGCTTCGGGTCCACATCCACCATCTAAGACCGCCCCGGGACACACCTGTGGTCAACCCGATCTGGGTTTATTGGTACTTGCTGCACCAAGAGGGGCTTCTGATGAGCCTGGGACTTGACTTGGGTGATTTGGGGAAGGGTCCCAGGAGCATGACCTTGTTCTCGATCGGGCACTGTCAGACGTGGGACAATTTTAGGATGGGCACACACATTTCTTCCCCGGGAAGTGGAAGGGACAGACAGGGTTAAAGTCGGGATCAGCAGCAGTCACTCGTGTTTACCAGGAGAGGGGCTATTTGGTCATTTTTGCCATTTGCTCCATGTTTCTGTTTGTGTCTCGCCCCATCTCGGGCACAGAGGGGTTTTGTCTGAGACTAATGGTCTGGGCTGCTGTATGCATTAAGTAAGGAGGGGACTCTGCCGCCTGGGGATTGGAGCCGGGCCCAGCAGCTGGGCTTCCTTTCATGCTCAGACCTCATACCCCACGGGCGCAGCCACCTCACGGGAGGGGCAACCACCCGTGCCAGTCCAGCTGCAGGCACGGTGCCGATCAACAGTCAGCTCACGAAGTTCAAGGGCAGAAGCATAAATGCAGACCAGTGGGGCTCCGTGTCCCCTGGGATCGTCTCTCTAAGGCTGGCTGGAGCCAGCTGGGTGACTTCTACCCCTCAGTGACTGGCAGCCACGACGAGGCTCAGGGTGGGTGTTTGGAGTGATGCCAGTAACAAGGAAACTGAGAGGGCTCACGGCCTCGTCTCCTGTCGCTCATCCAAGGCGACAGGCATGGGGGTGACAGCTCAGAGAACATTGCTCGTCACTAAGGCCTTGAACTTGAAGCCTGGCTGCCGGGGAGGAGATGACGGGTCCTCCCTGTGTGGTAGACACTGCTGCTGGCTGCCACCATTCTAGAAAAGGCTTTGCATGGGCCTCGGCGCCTTCGGGGCTGTTTCTGAAGGAGAAATGGCATCCTGACACTGTGACGAGCACTGACCGTGGACCCAGGCGGAAGGCCTAACATTCATGGCCAAATCGAAAGTTCAAGGCAATCAGTACTGTTGGGCGACACGGCGGAGAAAGTGGCAGCCCTGGACCCCAAGCCAGCCTCCCGATTGACCCTGAGACGGTGCCAAGTCAAATCAAGATCTCTTCAGAACTTCCGCGGATCTCTCCACGTCCAGGCTGAAGAGGGGAGCCACGCAGAGATTCCTCCATTGGCCGCTGAGCCCGTTCCAAGCCGTGGCGATTCCGCGGGTGTCAGAGCAGAGCCGTGCTCCGCAGGGATGCAGGGTTTTCCATGACCGCAGAGCTCCCGGGCCTTTCTCTTTGGGTTGCTCTGGGTAGACTCATGCCTTCAACCTTCCCATCAGCCACTGAGCCTGCCAACTGTTTGCCACCAGCCAGGGACTTTGCACAGAGGCTAGGAGTCCGGCTGTGAGCCAAAGACCAGCTCCTGTGGGCCAGGGGGCACATCACCCAAGCTGGGGTCAGGCAATGCCTGCTACACCCACAGAGTTCACTGACAAGGCTTCTCCGGTTCCTGCACCACATCCCCTTGGCTCACCCCTACTCAGCTTCTGGGCAGTTCCATGCCTGCTCCGACTCCTTAGCACCCACTAAGGGTCCTTCTGCACTCTGCCCCAGGGACGTCTCTGAAGGCTGAGACGCTGGAGCAGACAGGAAGCAAGCATGCTGCCAGGCTGGGGGAGTTAGCCCCAGGGCTGTCCCTAGTCCCTGGGGAGGTAGGGACCTGTGTGTGACCCATGCTCCAGCTTCCCTTCTTTCTGGTGGGTCATTCCAGGAGGCCGGCTGTCTGGGCGCTTCCCAGGAGGGCCCGGCTGAATCTAGCAGCGACTTTGATGAGCTGTCCTCGTTTGGCTTCCTTCCGCGCAGGCTCACTTCTGCACTGCACGCACGCACACATGCACACACACTCCCGCTGGCCAGCTCTCACATAAGCCACCTGCACCCAAGTCCTTGTCTCTGGCTCCGCTTTCAGGGGAACCCAAGCCCAACGGCTTATGCAGACTGTCTAGGGGAGCACAGCTGATGCCAAGTACATCTGTGTTCCAACTTAGGAATGCAAGACCCCAGCAGGGATGAGCTACCCAGACACCTCTGGGAATCCTGCCTCAGGGTCCTTAGCCCGACTCTAAGGCTGAGCCGACATCCTAGCACCACAAAGAAGTTCTTTCTAGTGTTTTTGCAAATATATTTTGATGGCATGGAATCAACAAAGTCATATTGAACAAGCTTAGGCCTGCAGAGACACGGTGGTTTTTTATAATACTGAGGAATCTTACGTCACTTAAGGGATAGGTTGGACAACCAAACTCTTAGGGCAGGGGAACCCCTGGACCTCAGAGGAACACGCGACTCATCCTCTCCTAGTCCCCCTCCCATCCCCTCTCTTCCCCTGGTCTCGCTCATGCAAATGGGCTCTATCACGTGGAAGAGAATGTGACCCCAATCTATTCAGAAGGCCCATAGTAATGAAGACAACTCAACCCACGGTCGATTCTGACTCACAGCAACCCTGTAGGACGGACAGAGTAGAGCTACCCCTTTGGGTTTGGGAGGCGATAGATTTTTACGGGAGCAGGCACCCTCCTCTTTCTCCCATAGAGCGACTGGGGAATTCTAACCGCTGGCCTTGTGCTTAGCGGCCCAACCCACAGCCCACTATGCCACGGGGTCCCTTAATGACAAAGGTACAGACAAGCACTGCGATGCCAAAGAGCCTATGGAAGCTCCAAGAAGGAGCATGCTTTGTTTCTGCTGTTCGATGATTGAGCTACGTGGCCACAGCAGTGCCTGCAGTATGGTGCGTGGTCCATCCATGTTCGTTGAGTGAATTTATGTCGATAGAGGGAAGAGGAGACAGAGGAGGAGGTTGGAACTGGGTTGCGGATGAAGTTGTCTAACCTTAGGCTTTAAGTAGACGTGGCTCCTTGTAGGGGGTCATCGCGGGTGAGATGCACATCATCCCTCTGGCCAGAAAGCTGCCCTGGCTCCTCCCCAGGGTCTGCGGACAGAGAAATGACCTTTCAGCAGGGCCTGCAGTTCTCCCAGGACCTGCCCCTTGCCACTTCTCTTCACGCGCCCTCTGCTCAGGACGCACAGGCCAGAGGCCATCCTGAGGGAGCGATCCTGAAACCCACACTGTCCCCTTCCCCAGAAAAACATCAGCCACGTTTGGAAAGGAATCTTAAATTGAGTTTATGGAGTAAAGAAATTATTATGCCCATGTAAATATCCTATAGCAGAACCCAATGGGAAATAATAGCTTCTGAATATACAATAACAGTCTTCTAATGCAGGGCTGTGGGCGTATAATTGAATATAGCTAAAAGTGCCCCTGAAAGCATAAAGGAGCTGAAAAGAAACTTTCAAAAGAAACACATTTAGCATTTCTGATGTTGAAAGAACTGAAGAAAAAAATCGAAGCCATGAGCTGCAATATTGAAGGATTCTATCTATGGTCAAAATACTGCACAATGCAGGAAGCGTCAAAAGTAAATGGAAGAAAACACAGTCACTATACCAAGGAGAGGAGGCCTGGTGGCTTGTTGCTATGTATTAGGCTACTAAGTACAAGTTCAACAGTTCAAAACCACCAGCCACTCCATGGAAGAAAGATGGGACTCTCTACTGCCATAAAGAGTTACAGTGCCAGTTCTACCTGTCCCATAGGGTCACTATGGGTTAGCATCGACTCAATGGCAGTGAGTTTAGTTTTTATTTTTGGCATCCAGGAGAATTGATCAACATTCAGCCATTTCAAGAGGTAGCATATGATCAAGAACCAATGGTAAGGCAGAAGACAAGCTGCACTAAAGGCATTCTGGAAAAGTAAGGCTCCAGGAATTGATGGAATACAAATTGAAGAGTTTCAACAAACTGAAACAGAACAGGAAGCTCTGATGTGTCCAATCCAAGATGACTAGTAGAGATTCATATTTAAGAGAAAAGTAACCCAACGGGACGTGGAAATCAGTAAACAAGAACATAATATCACATGAAAATAAAATGTTGCTGAAGCTAACTCAGAAATGGCTGCTAAAATATATCCAGAGGTTGCTGCCAGAAATTTAAGCTGGATTCAGAAAGAGGACGTGGCACAAGGGATATCATTGCTGATGTCAGATGATGTTGGCTGAAAATAGAGAATATCAGAAAGATGTTTTACTGGTGTTTTATTGACAGTGGAAAGGCGTTTGACTGTGTGGATCCTAGCAAACTATGGTTGACATGGCAAAGAATGGGAATTCCAAAATCTTCCCTTGTGCCCATGGGGTGCTGCCCGTACCTGGACTAAGAGGTAATCATTCAAACAGAACAGGGAAATGCTGAATGGTACCAATCAGGAAAGGTAGGCATCAAGGTCGTATCAGTTCTTACTCAATCTGCATGTTGCGTAAATAGTTGGAGAATCTGGACTATGAAAAGAACCCAGCCTCAGGATTAGAGGAAGACTCGTTAACAGCGGCAACATGCAGATCACGCAGCTTTGAGGCACCTGCTGATGAAGAGCCAGGCTCCAGCCTTCAGTATAGGCCAGAGTTCAATGTACACGAAACCCAACTCATCAAAATTAGACCAACAGACGTCATAATAAATGGAGAAAAATAGAAGATGTCAAGGGTTCCATTTTACTTGGATCCACAATCAACCTTCATGGAAGCAGCCTCAAGAAATGAAACCCCGAAGAAAAGGAATCAAGCCAAGCATTGAATTGGGCAAACACACCGCACAAGACTGAAGTGCCCTTCACCCAAGCCGTGGCATTTTTAATTTCCTCACACACATGTGAAAGCTGGACCATGGAGAAGGAAGACCTCGATGCGTTCGAATGCTGGGATGGGTGAAGAATATTGAAAGTGGCATGGTGTGTCCCCAGAACGAGCACATCTGTCTTTGTACAGCCAGAAGGCTTCTTAGAAGCAAGGATGTTGAGATGTGGCTTCTGCACTCTGGACCTATTACCAGGAGAGACCAGTCCCTGGGGAAGGACACCAGGCTTGGTAAAGCAGAGGGGCAGCGAAGAAGAGCAAGGTGGTCAGTGCGTTGGGTTGGATGGCCACCCTGGCCGCCACAGTGGGCTCAAACGCAACTGTTGTGAGAATGGGGCAGGACTCGGCAGTGGGTCCCTACATCAAAAAAAGAGGGGCCCTGCTGCCACAATGGTTAAGTGCTCATGTCCTAACCGCGAGGTAGGTGGTTCAAACCCACCAGGCACTCTGAGGGAGACAGGCGTGGCACTCTCACTGAAAAACCCAGCCCACGGCTATCCAGTCTATTCCGATTCAAAGCGACCCTGTAGGACAGAGAAGAACTGCCCCCATGGGTTTCATTAGGCTGCAAGTCTTTGTGGAAGCAGATGGCCACATCATCCTCCCTTAGAGCAGCGGGGTGGGTTTTAATCTCTGGCCTTTGGGTCAGCATTCCAGTGTTGAGACCACTGTACCACAAGGGATCCTGGGAGGCAATGGGCTTCAGTAAGACTTGCCGTCTTTGAACACCCACGGGCGGTGTACTCTGTTTCCAGGGTCACCAGGAGTCCAGATCACCTCAAGGGCAGTGGGGTTGAAGGAAAAGTATTTGTAACACCAAACACTGGAAATGACAGAGCTATAGGATTGGAATATTTTATATACTTACTAGGGGAATAATTGAAACCGTAGCTGGTTTGTAATTTTAAGAAAGCTGAAAAAGAAATAAGAATTGAGTATCTTTTCAGTGATGTTTCTATTTGTTTTTCTTGCTACATACTCTGCCACTACTTAATCCCTTTAGAATGTGACTTTTCTTACATAAATGCATTTGAATAAGAGTGCATCTGAGATGCATTTGGAAAGGGAATGGGCAGGTAATGGATGCACTGTATGCCAGCAAGTACAACAGTGTGAGAGTGAGTGTGTGTGGGTGTGTGTGTGTGTGTGTGTGTAAAGTTAGCATGTACAGCAGTGTGTGTGTGAAACCAACAATTATAGCAATGTGAGTGTGTGAGTATAAAGTTTGCATGTACAGCAGTGTGAATGTGTGTGTGTAAGTCAGTATATACAGTGTGTTCGTGTGTGAAGCTGGTAAGTACAGCAGTGTGTGTGTGTGTGTGTGTGTGTGTGTGTGTGAAGCCAGCAATTATAGCAATGTGAGTGTGTGAGTATAAAGTCAGCATGTACAGCAGTGTGAGTGTGTGTAAAGTCAGTATGTATAGCAGTGTGTGTGTGTGTGTGTGCGTAAAGTCAGCATGTACAGTGTGTTTGTGTGTGTGTGAAGCTGGTAAGTACAGTGGTGTGAGTGTGTGTGTGTGTGTGTAAAGTCAGCATGTACAGCAGTGTGTGTGTATGTGAAGCCAGCAATTATAGCAATGTGAGTGTATGTGTGTGTGTGTAAAGTCAGCATGTACCGCAGTGTGTGTGTGTGTGTGTGTGTGTAGCCAGCAATTATAGCAATGTGAGTGTATGAGTATAAAATCAGCATGTACAGTAGTGTGAGTGTGTGTGTAAAGTCAGTATGTATAGCTCTGTGTGTGTGTGTAAGTCGGCATATACAGTGTGTTTGTGTGTGTGTAAAGCTGGTAAGTACAGCAGAGTGTGTGTGTGTGAAGTCAGCATGCACAGCAGTGTGAGTGTGTGTGTGTGTGTGAAGCCAGCAAGTACAGCAGTGAGTGTGTGTGTGTAAAGTCAGCATGTACAACAGTGTGAGTGTGTGTGTGAAACCAGCAAGTGCAGCAGTGTGAGTGTGTGTGTGTGTAAAGTCAGCATGTACAGTGTGTGTGTGAAGCCAGCAATTACAGCAATGTCAGTGTGTGTGTGTGTGTGTGTGTGTGTGTGTGTGTGTGTGAAGCCGGCAAGTACAGCGGTGTGAGCGTGTGGGGGTGGGGGTGTGTGAAGACATTATGCTGTAGTGTAGCCTGCTTGAGAATTGGTACTTATCAGCTACGGCTCTTCACACAGAAACAGGAATCCATACATGCATACTGCATGGATAAATGAAGAAAAAGAAAGGTAGAGTGATTCTTGAGCGGGGCATAATGCAAGCTGCTTAGCATGTGTGACCTATTTAATCTTCGCAACCACCTGCAGGTGATTTTCATCATTGCCGATTTGCAGAAGGAGACTGGCTTACCCAAGGACACAGAGCTCACCAAGGACGAAACAAACAATCCTGGATCCTTGTAGCTGGGGCTGGTGCCCTGGAAAGGAAACCTGCCCCATCTAGTGGCGGAACTAGACCTGGCACCAAACAAAAAGCACTGAGACTGCCAGTTGCCTGCCGCATTTATTTGTGACGCTTAGAAAGGCAAACAGGCACATCTGTGTCCCACTCTGTGTTAGTCTGGGTAGGCTAATAAACAAGATTCATAGACACTCATCTGTGTATAGGAAAGAGCTTTATATAAAGAGTAATTGGGCATTAAGAAAACATCCCAGCTTAGATCAAGTCCATAAGTTCAATATTAGCCCATATGTCCAATTCTAGTCCATAAACTCACCCAGCTATGCAATAATGCCGAATGCAAGAAGATCACAGGCCACGGGGTGGAAAGTCTTGTGGATCTAGTGGTGGTAGAAGCATCTCAGTGCTGGCATGAGTCTCCACGTGGCTCTTACAGCTCCCAGGGCTCTGGCTGCATCAGTGTAGCTCCACGTGACTTGTCTCAGGAATATCTCACAGGGAATGAGAGTGGGTCCCGCCTCCAGCGAGCTATTTATCTCCGTAATGCCTCCAAATGAGGTCATCAAGCTGTGACCTGATTGACAGGCTAAACTCCACCCCTTCACTGTTAAGTCTCAAATTGACTACAGATTATGTAACTACCACACACTCCCATCCCCCAACCCCACAAATGAAAAAGACAACAACAAGCTAGTGACATTGTAAATATGAGAGAAGAGTAACTCGTGCCAGCATGTTTCAGGGAAGTCCAAACATCACTGCACTGCCAGCCACACAGCCCTGACCAGGTGAAGCCATTCAGAGAGAAAACTCCTCATTTTTCACCAAGGCCGTAAGCTTGACTAGCTCGGTTCACCCACAAAAGAGTCCAGTTCCTGCTTTAAATGTCCACTTTAAACACCCGTCATGTGGAAGATAAGGGAAGCAGAGGCAGCCTGGGGCTTACCCAGAAGCCTCTGCTATGGAATGGATCGCACTGCATTGTAACGGTTGACTTAATAAACAAATTCCCTCTGACCCACAAGTGTGAGTTCCTTGTGATGAACATCTTCTCCCACTTCTCCGTAACTTCAATGCACAGCGCAGGACATAAGACAGGCACTTGGTGAATGATAGAATTCAGATTATACTGCATCGGGGAGAGATCTGGAACCCTAGTGGCGACGAATTGGGCTAATAGCAGAATCGATGGTTCAAAACCACCAACTGCTCTGAAGGAGAGAGATGAGACTGCCTGCTCCTGTAAATACTTGCAGTTTGGAAACTTCTCTGTCTTACAGAGTCACTGTGAGTCAAAATTAACTCAGGAGTAATGGGTTTGTTAGGGGGCTTGGTGGGGGACCTCGGGCGATGCAATCCAGACTGCCGTAAATTAGTGACTACATTATAATTTAAAATTTTCAAAAAGTTTTTACAAACATGGCTCTTTTATAAATACATTGTATGTGCCAAAGATTTGATTATTTCCTTACTAAGAGAACCAGTAGGAGGTTAAAGCTGGCTCAAGGAATAATGGAAGAAACTGGTTTATGGGATTAGTGAGAAAAAAGAAAAGAATGTTTAAATAAGATTGCTAAATTTGATAGATACAAAATGTAAAACTCCAAGGCCAGCTCAGAAGAAGTGTTTTAGGGTAAATTGGCTTTAGATAAGCACTGTTTGGGATAAAGCAGTGCAGATAAAATGTGGTGTAAGAATTCTGGAAGTACTGTTCATCTTCAGAGCATGTTTTAGCCCCTACTTGAAATTTTTATTCAATTTCAATTGTATAATAATTGTATATTCAACTGCATATTAAATAAACTCCTACTTATTTCTATTATAGGCTAAATATAATTTTGTTTGAAAAGAAAATGGTGTCAGAAGTGGGACTTGAAGGCACCTTCCCACATGTGTTAGTCCAGGTAGACTAGAGAAACAAATCCAGAGACGTTCATATGTGTATAAGAAAGAGTTTTATATCAAAGAGTAATTGTATATTAAAAAAACACCCCAGCCCAGTCCAGATCAAGTCTGACATTAGCCCATATGTCCGATACCAGTCTATAAATTCCTCTTCAGATTCACGCAACACAAGCAATGATGATTAATGCAGGAAGATCCCAAGCCAGTGGCTGGATCCAGTGGCAGTGGTAGCACTTCAGTGCAGGCGTGGGTCTCCACGTGGCTCCTCCAGCTCCAGGGCTCTGGCTCCATCAGGATAGCTCCATGTGGCTTGTCAACAGGAATGTGAATTCCGAGAGAGAGTGTGTGTCCCGCCTCCAGGGAAGAAGACAGGAGTTCCCAGAATCCTCAGGAGGCCATGCCTGCACAGAAGCCTCATTGGCTATGACCCGATTGACAGACTAGACTCCACCACTTCACTCCAGTTGACAGGAGGTTATGTAGCTGCCACACATCTCTGAATCCTTGGAAGAAATCAGGAACAGGTGCGCGCTATGGCTCTCTGCAGCACAGTCTCCTTGGGCTGTGCTCGAACTCGCAGGTCTGCTTCCTTAACAGAGGTTGAGGGGAAGTCATAGGAGACTATGTCTCTGTTTGGCAGAAAGAAATATGTTCAGAACATTTGAAACTGGATTTCAGAAGGTTTTTAACTTCAGAGTTTTTTGAACTGGAAAACTTTTTTTTAACTGAAAAAATTTATGGTAACAAAATACTGACCTAATCCTGCAGCAGACCCTCAGCAATGGACTTTATTGCCCTCAGAAACCAGAGCTTCAGCTTAAGGGAGTAGAATCCTTGTCATCTAAGAGAAGTGAGTTTGGAATTACACCCTAGCAGGGGACTGGTTTGAGGTTCGTGTTCAAAAACATGATAAGCTGAGTGAGTACACTGGAAGTAACTTGTGATTTCAGTGGTCGTTTTGGGAAAATGTGTTTCCATCTGCTCTTTTGTATTTTGGGGAAATGAATTCCCTTTTGCCTTGTCTTTTCTTGCCTCTTTGAGCAAGTTCTGTTTGGTGTTCAGTTTTCATCAAAGAGTCGCAAATACCTCCACCTGACACTCTGGGAAGTTAATAAGCTTTATCTAGAACTATATATATATATATATATACTTTTTTCTGTTGAAATAAGTTGACATTTTTAAGACACTTTGAAGTTGGCTGTAGGCATTTTAAGAAACTAGGTTTCCTATTTGCTTTATTTGTTCATGTTAAGGTATCACCCTCCTGCCATCAAAGCAATTCTGACCTATAGGGACCCTATAGGACAGAGCAGAACTGCTCCGCAGGGTTTCTGAAGCTGTAGGTCATTATGGAAACAGACTGTCTCACCTTTCTCCCGTGGAGCAACGAGTGGGTTTGAACGAGTGCTTAAGCCTGTGTGCCAACCGAGCTCCATCATTTAAGAGTATAAGTATCATACATGAGCTGGCCTCACAGGTCAGTGAATTTATGTGTTGTTGTTTTTGTTTCTGTCTCATTTTATTCTCAGCTTGCCTATGACTTAAAGCATAGTGTCTGAATTTCTATCTTGCATCAGGCTGGAGGTCATAGCATTTCACAAGGATGCCTTACATCTCAGTTCTTTCCTCTTTCCTAAAAAGAGGACTCCAAACTTGGCAGTGTTGCTTCCCCAGTCCTTTGTTGGCCCAGAATCTTCTGCTCCTGCGCTCACACCAGAGTCTGAGTCTCCTCTCAGTCGTGAGCTCTGCCCCCACTCTGCCAGTCCTGTTGGAGCTGAGCTTTATTTCCACCATGCAGCATTTCTCCTGGTGACTTCTTTTGATCCCTGCAAGAATCACATGAGCCAGATAGTCACACACACACACACACACACACACACACACACACACACAGGCTTCCAATGTATGCCTACTTTTCTAAATAGCATTGTTCCCTGTGGATGACCTATGCTTTTAGTAGCTGCTCTGAGAAATTTTAATATAAATTGGCCTGCTTGAAAAGTGCACGGAGCAAAAGGATAAATTGTTTATTTTATGTGTAAAATAAAGCCTTAAAAAGACAAATTATTCTAAATTTCTTCTCAAAAAGAATACTTACAGTATGCCAACGATAGGGCTATTAAAGTATAATCATTTCTTCCTCTGGATGATAATATTAGGTTAGGTTATAACATTTCTTCAAGGAACTTTAGTCGGATCAATTAAGTGATAAATAAGTGCATATATAAATATAGTAGTCTTAATATTTCTCAGTATTAAGAAATAAAACATAAAATAAAATAAATCCTCACAACCGGGCCACTAAATATCATGATAAAGATTGAAGTCATCAAAGATTTCATTTTGCTTTTATGTGGAGAACATTGTTGATGTTTTAATGTTCTATTTTCTGAATGTAAGGAACTAATGGGGGGGGGGGTTGGCGTGTGTTTTTTACTTGCAGATTGAGCTGGCTATTTCTATGTGCTTATATATAATGAATAAACCAAAAGGAAAAATAAGAAATATAACAGGAATGAAAATTTAAGACCAGAAGAGAAACATTAAAGTGGATTCAAAAAATTAGGAGGAAAAAAAATGGTTAGTTACTGAAATGGCTGAATCGTGCATTGAAGGGAAATCTATCAGATTTTAAATGGGTTTTGTGGGGAAATGAAACTACTTGATATGGGTCTTTGTAATTTCAACCAAATGACAGGATGGGATCACACAGATGAGGAGGGCACTAATGATTGGACACATTTGGCATATAAAGTTCTATCAATATGGGATCATGCTGACTTGAGAGACTCTATTGGAATCTTAGGGGGCAATGAGTTTATGTTAATAGAGGGGGAACAACTCAGCAAAGGAGGATGAGAATAGTTATACACCCCTTAGAATCTACTCAATATCATTAGATGGTAGATGCAGAAATTGTTGAATTGGTGTGTGTTTTGCTGTGCACATTCTCAACAATAACAAAATAAATACAATTATATATATGTATGTGTGCATGTATATATATATATCCTTTACCAAGTCAGAAAAAGCAGATGGTGCTCAACTACTATTGTTGAATATTTTTATTTGAATGTTTTTGCTCAAAGATTGTATAGTAGAATCCTTATCAAAAAAGGGGAATTGGAAAGTATTCTAATTGTTCTGGAATCCAGATTTCTTGTTTTCATGGAAATTGGGGTAGCCCACTCAGGCCAATTGTCCTTAAGTGTTCTTTCAATTTTGAGCCTTTTAGAAAGTGGTCTCCCAAAAGTCATCTGTAAGGCAGACAATGTTCTGTTCTCTAGATAAATGTGTAAAATCCATGTTACCTTAGGCATTTGGCCTTGTTGGAAGAGTTGCCTGTGTGTAATCTGTTTCTAGGGCAATGCCAACAAAGTGTAGTATAAGAATTCTAGACTGTTCTTTTCATTTGTGGGACTCCCTAATCCTAGTTGATTACATGC